AGAAAGAATCTTGCTAGACTCTGGAGCCACGATGACGTCGGGCTAAAAAAAATCTGAAAATCGCAAGTCATGAAAGCTAAAACTTGGTTACACTGTCGTGTTGATTGCATGAAGGCGTGGTTGAAACCCGCTGATTGCAATGTGCGTTTACTCCGCGCCTCTCTTCTGAAAAACGACTGCTTCATTCGTTCGAACTCCCGATCGGACTGCCCGGGCCAACATACCCATCTGAGAAAGTCGCCTTGTATATTACGATGGGCGATCCGCGGTCTCCGATCTTAAAACGATCGCCTTGCCGTGTAGGGAGGCGCGCTCTCGGTTCGTACATTAGAGCAAAGCGCGGTCGGCGCGGGCGAGGCCGGCCGTTGATATTTCATGGAAACTTTCTACGCATCCCCGAAGCGCTGAAAGCGAGTTAAAACTGTGAGTTTTGTCGGAGCGCGCGTCTCTGCCTGATTGAAGCGGAGCGGCCCCGTGGCCCCCGCGCCCGTGCCCGCCGTCTGCGCCGCGGCAGCCCATGCGCTCTAATTGGCGCCGCGTCTGCGTCACTGGCCACTTTAGCCCGAGCCCCATCTCTCTCTCTCCACGAGGCCTCCGGGTCCGCTGATAGTCTGGTTTCTCCATCGGAGGTCGGCCACTGGTTCTTGGTGTGCTAGCTGCGTTATCTGCCTGTGACGCAGAAAGTCGTGCTGGCGTGCGGACGATTTCGCCTCCTCTACGCCACTGCGTCTTCGTCAGTCGCATTTGTCGGGATGGGAAATCGAACTAAACGTTTCGCGAGTCCGATTTAGGGTGGGCGACTTCGCGTGTAGTAGGGCCAGCCGAATTCAAGGCGTTGTGGTGCATTTGGCGCGGGAGCCGAGCGGGGCTTCGCAAAACGCTCTGCTACTTGCTTCCGGCTGTGTCCCCCGGGGACCGGCGGGCGGCGAGGCCGGCGGCGTGCCTCACGCGAGGCCAGTGCGTCCCGCCCCCGCTGGGAAGCGCGCGTAGACACGAATGCAGAAGCCCGGGCCGGGCTCGGAGTTACGCAAGCCCGTGCGGCGCGGCGCGCAGGCGAGGTTGCGCCCCGTGGAAAGTTTCTCTCCCCGCGGAGTGGCGAGGGTGAGGTGAGGTGAGGTGAGGTGCGGCGGGGGCGGCGGTGCGCGTGGCCGTCTCGCCGCGCATCCGGAGCCGGCGTGCCGTGGCCGCGGCTGGAACGAACCGGCTGCGGAGGAAGAGGTGGAGAGGCGGCAGGTGGCGGCACCGCGCTCGACGCCTCGCCCCTCCCCCCTCCCGCGCAACCGTCCCCCCCCGCCCCCTAAGCGTGCGCTTTGCGCCCCCCGCCCGCCCACGCCGGCGA